CCTTTTAAACACTATTTCTTTGAGGCTCTTGAAAATGGCTGGTTTCAATAGCGTGCTAAATATTGTGTGTTTGTCTTTTAGATTTTACTATTATCTGTAGCGTATTGCACTTAAATCATGGTCCTAATCTATTTCAGGGTGAGAAATGGGATCCTGAAAAAGAAAGTTGAAAGGCGGTAACAAGAAGGTTTGGAGTTTACTTGTATGTTTGACATATTAGTGTTTGTTGTATGGTGTGCCTATTTCCTAACTAGTTTGTGTAAATCTCACACGCATCTATTTTCCTCATTATAAAAAAGCTTGATTGCAATTAACATTCAAAGTATAGTGTGACATTATATTTTCTTGTGCTGCTTGATCAATATTATTTGTTAGCAAGAATTTGTGTTGCCTTGTATAACTGAGTCTCAAGACAGTTTTTTATCATAATAAGAAAGCTCTTTTCACAAGACACAACAGGGAACAGATCTCTTAATGCTTTTACAGTCTAATTTTCTTTGGGAACCATCACTTTTCTAGGGATTGTAGATTGATTAAGTTTGTTCTTGTATAGGTAGTGAACTTTGTGTCCTTATGACTTGAAAACTCAAATTAAGTCTTACTAATTATGTTGATAACTTTCTTTTTTGTGCATCTCTTCCCCTAGAAATTATGCTGCAACTTTTATGTTTGTCATTTTCACTTTCTTTTTTCACTACTGAACTTTTCATTTCAAAAAAATTTCCAAACCGTAACAGTTTCAAAAATCACAATGGGTACGCTATTTCTAAGTGAAACACTTGACCGATGAGTGGGTAAATGCTTTATTGAACTTATATAGTATACTTTATTGAACTTTACGCGACTCTTACTAACGGCTCCTCTGTCACAACATCAAATGTGTCCTCGTAAAAGTGCTCCAACACATCAAAGGTCAGCTCCTCGGTCACAACACAGTTCCCTGTTGGGAGAGAATCCTGGGGCTTGGAACACTTGTACCAGGTTGACTTCAACATAAGATCGACGCTCTCGTCAACCAGTGTCATTCAAGCTGATAATATATATATATATATATATATATATATATTAATGAGTATACCAAATATATATATTTATATGAAGGAATATACTGAAATGAAAAAATATATTTAGTTTGGCTATTCTCTCTCCTCACACTCTCTCTCATCTCCTCTCTCCTCATTCTGAATATGAATGCCCTTTCAGTAATGAACTCTAGCAAACATGAAAGGAGAACCTATTTTTTGCCCTTTTTACAAAAGTTAAAAACCTTTTCCTAGATGCTTTTGGCTCCAGGAAAAATAACTCCATTATCCGTTGCAACAGAACATAGAAATGATTTAAAAAAAAAAACAAAAAACCAACTAGAACGAGAAAAATGTTACAATAGTAACTGTTGACAGTAAAAACTAGTCAACAAATTAATAACAAGTTTTTTTATTTGTGCACGGATTAAATGACTCTAAACGTGAATAAGAAGAATTGAAATAAGATCAACACAGATGATTTATAGTGGTTCACTTCAATATAAAGCTACGTCTACTGAGAGAGCTTTTTACTATTCTGGGTCGAAATTATAAGTTATGGGGAGAGAGGTGTTCAAGAGTCCGAACCCCTCTCAGACCATTCTCCCTGCATATATACATCATGTCGTTTCTGCCAATTATCAATTATCTAATCAAATCCTGTGATATCTTCACCACACTCCGAAACAGTAATCTCTGATCACTGAGATTTCAGCCAGTATGCCTGACTTTCTCCACCGGCTTCACCACCTACTTTGCATGCATTTAATGCACGTCAAATCTTGGTACAATTGTACTTCAGACCGGACGTGGGTGGGTTCGTCGCCTCCCGCTCTTTGGAAGCGATCTTCGTTCATGGCCAGTGAAGCATTCGTCTCCGTGACGTGACCTTTGTTCCCTCTAGTCGACTCCTTCAGTGGGGTTGTTTCATCGTTACGGGTCGACGTCCATGAGTGCGCTCTACCGCCACTCCGTACCTTCATATCTTGATTATTTTATGCTTTAATCACGCCACGTGGCGTTCAGCTATTGCCTCGTGTGGGGTTTAAGGTTTTACCCCCACAACAGTAACAATCCTCATAATACTTGCACACTTTGATACCAAAATCAAAGGTATAAATTCGGAAAACTGAGAATCAATAAGACCGCTGACTTGCTAAAAGCTTTAAGCTTCATTCAGTTTATTAGGCACTTCATGCGGAAAGATGGAAAATGTCGAGCATTGTACCTTAGAAACAGTAATATGCTTAAGCTTTGGCCTACTAAAAAGTTTACTAAAGTAAAAATAATAAAAAAACAAAAAACAGAAACAAAAGAAGAAGAACCACCATGCCAAAATTCTATTACTTTATTGAATAATAATTTTATTAAATTCACTTTGAAAGCAACAGGACAGCTTCTGAAAACGACAAAAAAAAATGGAAAATTTTCCGACTTTATCACATGCCTATACAACAAATATGCTCCGAAACATCTCTGCGATCATTTAATCAGAGCAGATAATAACTTATGTTAGAGCCAGCACCAAACCCACTTACTTATCATCCTCTGGCTTCCTAACCTTTTATGAATTCTTTTGAAGCCCTCAAGAAATTAGATAGAATGCTCATCATGTTCAAGTCAAACTACACGATCTTCCAGCAGCCAAAAAAAAAAAAAAAAAAAATCTTCCAAACTACTATTTCTCCAAAGTTCAACTTCAGCAACTTCAGATGCACCCTCCAAGTTCTCTCCGGCTAAATAAGTACATATGATTGCCCCAAAAGCCAACTTACATGGTATATTCACCGGTCCCGACGCAGAAGTCCAGAAATCATGCGCCCTAGAACCGTGGAAAGCCCAAAAGTCCATAGAGAATTCAAAGATATTGAAGCTCCATTCCGTCTATCAATGAATGCCAAGTGTTCCATTGGATGAGACTTGGCAAAGCCAGGTCTCCTGTTTCTAAAAACATGAGCCCAATTTCTTTTTTTTTTACCCAGAAAATCCCAGCCCGAGTTCGAAACTGGAGCCCTCCACCAAATTCTACAATCTTAGGAAGGCAGGAAACTATGACTTTTGTCATCTAGGTGGTCATGAGTTGGTTTGAACCCCAAACATTGTGGAAGCAAACCAACGGCCTAACCGTTCCAACCAACACCCCATGTATTTGAAAACACAGTGATTCAGCAAATGGGAAGTACTTGGCAACTGGAAATTGGTGAAGCCCTTATTTAAAATGGTCACCATTAACATACTTGCAGGCTGCATACAGGGATGAACTCAGAATATGAATAACTTATGAACATTAGCCAAGACGATAGGTTTCCTCCAAGCTCACAGTAAATGACAAACGCTACAATGGTAAACAACGATCACAAGATCCCATCCAATGGAGATTCACCTTGTCACTTCAATAAAAAGCCGAGAGAATGACCGATGTGCTAAGAACATAGAGCATAGATGAAAAGATATGAACTTCACCTTAAATCATTAACATGTATTTGGATTTCTGTGTTGACACAATCAAAACCTAGGCATGCACTGAAAAGAAGGCTAAAGCATATATTTACTCTTTATCCTCAGGTGAAAGAACTATTGCACCTTCAGTGATTTCACTTATATATGTTACTGGACAAAGTGCATGTGCTTGGGAAAGAACTTTGTCCAAAAGACGAAATAACTTGACAAAAATTTTGAAATTGAAATGTCAGAGAGTAAATAGCAAAAGTTTAAAACACTCTTTGATATACTAGTAAAAAAAAAAAATTGGTAATTGATTCATAACTAAAGAGAACAAATGCCTGATTGCCATGATTCAAACGACACAACAAATCTAATGAAAGAGTAAGGTGACTGTGAAAACAGGCCAAGTAACTAAGGAGAATATCTGTAAGTTTTTAGCTCAATCCCGGTCATTTGGTAATGGAGGAGTAAGACTCGCGAGTCAGTGCAGAAGTGCAAAAGTCACGCTCGAGCTCCATAATTTTCTTGGAAGCCAAGGTCGAGCTACACGAACTTGATTAAAAGTCTACTATCTACAGCAATGTTGCCTAAATTGCTACGCAAGTGCATGTGCCGAACAAGTAATAAAGTGTACAAGAGTACGGATATCGTTCTCACGGAGATTGAATCATTAATTGTAAAATACATAAATCATGCCAAACACTAAAGTAGAGAAAGTTAATTAACTAAAACTCACTACATCAATATAAAATGAAGAAAAATAGTTTCAAATGAAAGCAAAAAAGGTGGCAAGAGCACGAGAGCTCAATTACAGATTATAACCAGTGATTTAAATAAGCCAGGATTACTAATTTCCCCTCAATTGTAAGTCTGACAGTAATTGCTGCAGGACTAGTGATTTAAATAAGCCAGGATTACTAATTTCCCCTCAATTGTAAGTCTGACAGTAATTGCTGCAGGAATACTATAGCAAAAATTACACCTGTTAACCGAAACTTAGTTTTGCTGCATAAAATTCTTCCGAATTATTATGATTAAAAATTCTTTAAACCATTTTCAGTATATTCCTATGTGAATCTAGTTATCAAAATGCAATTTTCAACACCGGTTTCACTAGGTTATACAAGATGAGCAATATATTCCTATACCATTCACAAATCAATAAGCTCAAACAAGAGTATTAAACTTGCATAATTCATGTTAGATCCAACTAAAATTAACCTTTCCAGTATTAATCTTAATCTAGTATCTTATAATTAATGGCCAGTCAAAAATAGAGATAAGCATTAACACACATTGATGAACAGGAATAAGAGTCAATAAACATTCCATAAGCAAACTATCTTTCTTACAACCTTGGTTCTATTAGCAGACCTAACTAAAACAAATTAGTTCATAACTGAATTTATAAAAACCAAATTCTCAATATATTTCATTATTCAATGCAGATCACAATTCAAAAGAAGCAAAAGAATTTGAAGACAACAGATAGAGAAAAGAAATTTCAGCTGATTTAGAGCTTGAATCCCTTGATTCCTCCTCTTTCTCCGGGTAGCCTTCAAGCAGCTCTCTGCTTCTCTTCTTCTCTGGTACTTTCCTCCTTCTATTTCCCTTTCTGGTTCTTGCTTTTTTTCGGTTCTCTCGTCTGGTTCTTGCCTCCCTCTTTCTGTCCGGATCTTTTTCTCTTTTTTTCTTAATTTGGCTTGAAAAAGCCTTATTTCCTCTCTTCTTTTCTTTGGTTTTGGGCTCTATGCAGAGCTCTCTGGGTTGGGAGCTTCCAACCCTTTTTCTCTGGGTACCCCGCCTCTTTCTTCCTCTTAGCGGCGCTTTTCTTAAGGCTGTCATGTACTCTTCTCTAGGGCACCAAAAAAGGACGCCGAGGTTTCACTTTGTGAGTGGTTTGGGCAGCGATGACATGTGCACAGCATTCTTCCTTATGTACTTTCATATTTTTCCTCACAATGACATGTGCTGATGTCATCCACAAACCTGACAGCTGCTAATTTTGCTGTAACAGAATGCTGCAGCATTTTCTTCAAAATTCCTGCAATTCACACCAACATACCATAGAACACAACTCAGCCCTTTTTTTATTCAATTTTCTTCCAAATCACCTCAGAAGTAGCACATAAACAGATCTTAGCATGACAGATCACAAAACCCAGAAATTGAAGATAAAAACATAGAAAAACAAGCAAACTTACCTTCGGCTGAGCAAACTTTAAGCTTAAAGATGCCTAAGATAACTCTAATTTCTAGAGTCATCAAGCAACAAAGGTGGGCTTGGCTCAACTTATTTGCAATCTCTGGAAATGAAATCTTTAAATAAAAGAAGAAACTGAAAATCCTTCACAAAAAAAAATAACAAGAAATTGTGGTTGTAGGCATAGCCCAGCGGTAATTCCACACTTGACTCAACCATAGGTGATGAGTTTGAAGTAAATGATGTCATATGTCCACACCTTTTTTATGACAGAAGCATCAAGTTTCCTCAAATTTGGAAAAGAACCTTCATGGGACATTGGAACTGATTAACTCCTCTCCAATTCAAACGTAGCGGAAGAAACATTTTACTTCACGATTTCCTAAATAGCTATCAAAATGTTTTCAACCAGGCAGGGAAACAAACCCTTCACAGGAGATAAACACAGGCATGTCTCATAAAATAGATGGGAATCTCCACCTTTTTATATACTTTTGAATACTGCTAATTCAGACAAATTGCAAACAGAAGAATATAAACTCAAACTAATATCGAAAGTACAACACATTGAGATGAAGTAGCTGACAAGAGACCATACCTTCAGCCACAAAAGCAGAAAGTTAAAATTTATCATCCGGTATAAACCCCCTTTGCAGCATTTCATCATGGAAACGAAATGCTTCCTTCAAGTTGTCCTGGGATACATGTCCATTTATCAATGATGTATAAGTAGATCTATCAGGATTTACACCTCTTTTAATCATCCTCCGAAGTACTAGCTCGGCCTCTTGCATTCTACCCTGTTTAGAGAACCCATTTAGAATTACATTGTAAGTAATAACATCCGGCACCAACCCTCGATCTTCCATGTTACTAATGCAAACAAAAGCTTTGTCCAGATTATCTTCTCCAATAAATCCGTTGATCAAAGTGTTGTATGTAATGCTGTCAGGAACAACTCCTCGAGAAATCATTTTGCCCAAGAATTCATCTGCCTTTGCAGCATCGCCAGATCGGCAGTAACCCTTTATGACCGTGTTACAAGTCACAAGAGTAGGATTTATGCCACCTTCCACCATCTGGTCCCACAATCTGAATGCCTCGGATACATGTCCCATGCTACAGCACCCATTTATTAGAATGCAATATGAAACGTGATTAGGAAATATATTTCTAGAGATCATATCTCCCCATAACTCCTTAGCTTTCTCTATTTCACCTGCTTTGCAAAACCCATCAATCAACGTATTGTATGTCACAACATCAGGCTTGAGATTTCTTTCAATCATTGTCCGGAATAAATCGAGTGCTCTACTCATCTTCCCATTCTTACAATATCCGTGAATGAGTGGTGAAAGTATAAAAATCAGGAACAACACCCCTTTCCACCATCTCATTAAACAGCATGTCTGCATCAGCAAGCATCATGTCTCTACACAATCCATTCATAATACTGTTGTATGTAACCACATCCACAACACAACCTTGCTCTAGCATTTCATCCCTCATCTTTAATGCCTCTGACATCATACCCTTTTTACAATATCCATCTATAAGGATGGTATAGACCACATTGTCTGGAACCAATCCTTCCCTTTTCAGACTTTTAAAATACCTAAAGCCCGGTCAACATGTCCATTCCTTGCGAACATGCCAATCAGCGCACTAAAGCTAATCAGATCATGATAAACACCTCTACTTGACATTTCACGGAAAATCGCCTCAGCCTCTACAATATTATTTGTTCTACAACTCTCAGAAAGCAATGCATTGTATGTAGTAGTATCAGGATTCAACCCAAGCCACAACATCTCATCCAAGACTTCCTTTGCTCTTGCGCAATTTCCTGCCTTACACAATCCATTTATTATAGTATTGTAAGTAAACAGTCCAGGTCTTAGCCCCTTACACGACATTAAGTTTACTAAACGAAAAGCTTCTTCCAAAAGCCCTTGGCGACAATAGGCATTGATCAATGTATTGTAGGTCACGATATCCGGAAAAATTCCTTTCTCTTCCATGTCCGATAAGAACAACTTGACACGATCGACTTTGCCATCTTTACACAGCGCATTGACCATGATGTTAAGTGTATAAACATTCAAATCAATCCCACTTCTAACAACTTCCCAATATACTTCCCAAGCCAAATCAACCCACCCAACCTTCACAAGCCCTCCAAGAAGACTATTACAAGCATTTATCGAAACACTAAATCCTTTGCTTCTCAACATTTGAAACACCTCAGACCCTTCTCTTAACTTCTTAGCTTGCACATAAGTCCTAACCAACAAATCAAACACCAAAGTGTTCGAGCCACAACCGCTATGATACGTTGAGACCAAAGACTCAACAACATCGAATCTCGAAATGCCACTCCTCCTCACCATTCTAAGTACCAAAACTTGTGCTTCTGATAACCTCCGACCACGCACCAAAACATGAATCATCACACTCAAGGACTGTGAAGAATGCCTAATGTGCGGACAATTCAACAAAATTAAATCAACAAACTTCACACTCAGTTGCAAATTTTCACAGCAGCTAAGAACCTCGACTACAACTAATGGGTTTATTCGATATATATAGTTATGCACGGAGATCAGGTTACCTTGCTTTAAACCCAGTAAGATTTTCTCAGAAAGGAAAGAATCGGATATAGAATCTGATGAAACTGGTTCCTTGTTGGGGCATCTGTAGGCTTCTTGAATTTGAAGAGTTCCAAGACAACCACTTCCAGCACTAAACGAAGCTGAGAAAAGATAATTTTAGAATAATGCATACAAAAGTTAACCGTAAAAAGTAATAAAACTCAATAGAGAAAACTAGCACATATATTTTATAGCCACAATAATAACATTAAAAGCTGATTTCTCATACAAAGACAAGCGAAATTTCAGTCACACAGACGGCATCTTTTCCCGCCCAAAACAGGAACAAGCCACCGAAGTTAAATAACAAAAAGATCACTACAAGACCTAAAATTTTTCTGCCTAACTAATTTCACCATAATAATTTGAGAGCATAAAAAAGGCAAATAAATGCAATTTACTAAGTTCTAACCACTTGATGAAGCCTTTTGATTAGTTTTATTAGACGAAAATTCAATTTTCAGAAATTGTTGAATCAGGATTGAAGTTTACCTTAACTATGATCTTATGAAACTAACATGTGTGTTAAAACAGAGTTTCTCCCTCCAGAAAGTACCAAGTAATATGCATGAAAACAGAGAGAATCGCTCATATTTCAGATTCGAGTTGATTTTATTGCCAAATTTTTACTGAAATTGAGTACCAAGAAGCCGTAAATGAATGCTGGAGCACCTACCTGATGCTGCTGCCAGTGGAATTAGGCGCTTGAAGCCGAAAGTAGAGGTACGAAAGGTGAGAAATGGTGAAGAAAGTTGAAAGATTTTGTGAAGGTTTGAAGGTGGAAAAAAGTGATTAGGAGAGGGAATTAGAGATAATCTGAGTACAAAAAGAGATGACGTTGCCATTAAAATTGCTGGGTTTTTTTAGGAGAAGAAGAAGAGACGACCCCGAAAACTCAGAGTTCTAAAGTTGTGAGAGTTCTGAGGATGGGCTTTTGAGAAAGTTCCCTTTTTGCGGCCATTGTTTCTGCTTCTTAGTGAGAATGGGTGTTAAGATGATGGAAGGGTTTGGGTTTAGAGAGTTTCTTCCAAGTTCCGTTTGAAATTCGGCGAACAAAGCAAAGAGGTTATGGTGAACAACGATACAAAAACATAAAAAAATAAAATAAAATAATTTTGGTGCCGTAAAATATATTAAACATGTTCTTAGTATTTTTTTTTTTAGACAAAGTCTCTAGTTAGACACTTAAAAATACTTTATCAGAATGGTATTTGTACATTTTTGTTGAAGTATGTATATTTATATGTGATTCGTATATATATTTATATGTAAAGATGTATATATTAAGTTATAAGAAACGATAATGTATATTAATTCTCGAAATATGTATATTTTATAGTAATTAAGCGAATATATATCATAAAAATATATATATTGGCTGATTTGTTGTATTTCATGTTAATGAACGTAAGCGATAATGTATATTAATTATAGAAACATATATTTTTTATAGCAATAAGTGAACAAGGCTGGAATATGAATACAGTCCCCATCAGAACTAAAGCTTTATAACAAATCAAATTTTGTAGAATTACATTGCTTAATTTTCAAACGAAATCCCCAACATGCCCTTACATATATATTGTGTTATAGTGAACACCGTATTGAGGGCTGTTAATTTTTAAAGGTTGTTTTGGCAATCCAAATAACTATTGATTTATTAATTAAAATCATTTGACTTTTGATGTCTTATAAGGACTGATCAAATAAAATAAGAAACACTGTCAAAAAGTCTCCCGCTAGCACAGTGGGGCGCCGAGTGACAAGGATGGGTCAAAACGAATTCACTATTTCTACATCTTTTGCATCCTAAAATCAATGCATGATTTTTAAGAAATGATGCGACAGGCGGCATCATGTTTTGATGAGTATTCCGTTTTTTATGATTTTCTCTATTTATGGTCGTTTTTATTTTATTATATTTTTTTAAAGACACAAAATAAAGAAAATCATAAAAAAAAGAATATTCATCAAAAAATGGTGCCGGTTGTTGCATTAATTCCTAAAATTCAGATATTAATTTTAGAAGGCAGGAAAAAGAAACAAAATGTAAAGCTTTTACCCATCTCGGGCCCTAAACTGGCCCTTGGACGCCTCACTACGCAGGCCGAGGGCTTTTTTACCATGTTTTACTTTTTTTATCATTTTTTGAGGCCATTTTTTTCTAGCATGCCTAGAAAAATATAAGGATCGTGTCTGTAAAATTTTATTATTTTTTTACGTCATTTTTATTTTATTATATTTTTTAAGGACAAAAAATAAAGAAACTCATAAAAAATAGAATATTCATCAAAAAATGGTGCCGGTTGTTGCATTAATTCATAAAATTCATATATTAATTTTAGAAGGCAAAAAAAAGAAAAAAAATGTAAAGTTTTTACCCATCCCGGGCCCTGAACTTAGAGATGCAATAACGGACCGGCCCGTTCTTCTTAGGCCCACGTGGGCCAGGATGGGCCGTGCCATGGGTCTTGTGGGCTGGCCCATATTGGCCCATCATGGATTTAGATGTGCTAGCCCATTCAAGGCCCATCTTGGCCCATCATGGGTTTAGATGGGCCAGCCTATCTATGTATGTAATTTTTAATTTTTTTAATTTTTTTAATTTTTTTAATTTTTAAACAAGTTAACAAAAATAAATGTTTGAATAGTCAATGGGAATATGGAAAGATATATTTTATTTACGATTGCCTCATTAAAAACCTTTCCAAGGAAAACCGAGTGGGACAAAACCTTAGTAAGAAAAAAAGAGTACAATCAGAATAATTATATATAAGATGTTCACAAAATTACCAAAACAAAGAAAAAAACATAAAAAACATAAAAAAAAATAGATATTGTTCGTAATTACAATGTATTACTCCCAGTTGGAGTATCAGAAATGTCTAAATTTTCAAAATCATCAACCCAATCATCTTGAACTTGTTGGCTTCTTCTGCGAGCATCCTCCCAATCTTCGACGCACATTACTGCCTCCAGAATATCGTCACTCAAGCGTGCATGCCGTTCATCAAGTACTCTACCACTGCAACTAAATACTTGTTCACTTGCAACTGTGGACACTGGTATGGTTAGTATATCACGTGCCATTCTAGAGAGCACAAGAAAAGTTCTTGACTGTGATCTCCAAAATGACAAAATATCAAACTTATTGAAATCATGACCACCACCTTGCTCATTGAAAATGAATGCCGCAAAATTTGTTTTCAGATAGTTTTCCAATTCACTACGTGCCGAAGATGTGGATGACGCACCACTGACCAAATCCGGTGTAGCTAATCATACTTTCCCATAAATTGGGCAGCTCAACCTAAAGGCTGACTAAATGGATTCATTTCTACATAATTTTATTTCTGGAGCCATAAACCGACGGTGGTTTATTTTAAACGACGTCATTTAGTAATTACTATTGGTAAATTAGGCAGTTTAACCAAAAAGCCTGGATTCATTTCTACATAATTTTGTTTCTGGAGCCATAAACCGATGGTGGTTTATTTTAAACGACGTCATTTACTAATTGTTGTTGGTAAATTGGGCAGCTTAACGAAAAAGCCTGGATTCATTTCTACATAATTTTATTTCTGGAGCCATAAACCAACGGTGGTTTATTTTAAACAACGTCGTTTAATAATTGTTGTTGGTAAATTGGGCAGCTTAACAAAAAAGGCTGGAATCATTTCTACATAATTTTGTTTCAGGAGTCATAAACCAACGATGGTTTATTTTTTAGGCCATTTCTAGTGGTAAGATATATATTACTTGAACATGTACACACGTAAAGGATCCGTTTGGTTCACGCGTTTAAGTTCGTGATTTTATTTCATATTTAAATTTTTTGTGAGAGAACTATTGATAGAGTTTTTTTTATTCATTCTTTATGAGAGAAAAATACTGTAGCAGACTCAGAATCACGCCACTTAGATATTTCTTTTTTTAACTTTTCTCTTTCTTTTCTAAATTTTTTTTTTTTTTTTTACAAATGCTACTATACTTAGATATTTCTTTTTGATGGTGCTCTAAAACTTATTTATTCTTTCATTTTTAATTCTTTTCTGAACCTATTTTTTATTTTATTCCTATTTTTTTCTGGATTCATTTCTACATAATTTTGTTTCTGGAGCCATAAACCGACGGTGGTTTATTTTAAACGACGTCGTTTAATAATTGCTGTTGCTAAATTGCGCAGCTTAACCAAAAAGGCTGGAATCATTTCTACATAATTTTGTTTCTGGAGCCATAAACCGACGGTGGTTTATTTTAAACGACGTCGTTTAATAATTGCTGTTGCAAATTGGGCAACTTAACGAAAAAGGCTGGAATCATTTCTACATAATTTTGTTTCTGGAGCCATAAACCGACGGTGATTTATTTTTTAGGCCATTTTTTTTAGCACGCCTAGAAAAATGTAAGGATCGTGTCTGTAAAATTTTATTATTTTTGGACTTTGTTTTTATTTTATTATATTTTTTATAGATGAAAAATAAAAAAAATCATAAAAAATAGAATATTCATCAAAAAGTCTCTCGCTAGCGCAGTGGGGCGCCGAGTGGCAAGGATGGGTCAAAACGAATTCACTATTTCTACATCTTTTGTGTCCTAAAATCAATGCATGATTTTTAAGAAATTATGAGACATGCGGCATCATGTTTTGATGAATATTCCATTTTTTATGATTTTTTCTATTTTTCGTCTTTGAAAAATCAAATAAAATAGGAAACGACGTCAAAACTATCTGAAATTCTGCAGACACGCTCAGTACCTTATTCTGCATATGCTTGTAAAAAATGGCCTCAAACTGTGAAAAGAGAAAACGCTGTGAAGTTTGGTTTGATTTACATGAGTTGCTCAAGACAAACAGAATTCTAAGAGGATTGGAAATGAAACTAGTTGAATACCACAGAAAAACACAAAAAGCAATAATTGTTGAATAATTTACAGAATTATTCAACGGAAGATGAATTACTATAAAGATTATATTTTCAAAATTATTCAATAAACTTGCACTATTTATATGTCATGTTCATAAATATTGAATACCCCACCTTGAACTGCACATCCCAAGACGCACTGTGAAGCTTTTTTAGGAGCTCTTCTACTTTTTCAACATTTGCCATTTTGGTTGCCATGCTTACCTGTTAGATTGTTCTTGTCATGCCTATTGCAAAAAATTAGTTTTACCATATAAACATCAGAATTTGATTCTCAACATATTAACTAGTAAAGAAATTCCATTCCTTTAAATATTACAACATTATTATCATCACCATTACCATATTCACTACAAAAAGAAGTTGATAATCAACTTCTATAAACTCTACAACAAGCAAAAACCTCAAAAAAAAAAGTTAAGAAATTGTACGTGATTGACTAAGAAGAGCTCACCAACCGATCCAGAGCCTCCCGAGCCAGGGCCAATTCGGGCTCGATCCTCAACGCGTCTTCGTACGCCTTCCTGACCTCGGCCTCCATCTTCTTCGCCTCATAGCATTCTCCGAGCAAGTAAAAAGCCCTAGCGTTCTCCGAACTAAGCTCCACCGCCCGATCCAAGTCCTTGATCGCCGATTCGACCTTCCCGCGGCGGCCCATCGTCATCTTCAGCTCGGCTCTCTTGAAGAATGCATCGCCGAGCTTGATGTGGGGCTGAAACCCAGCACCGACGGGGAAGAATTTACGGAAAATAGAGGGGTATTGGCGGATGAACTCGATGGGGCGAGTGGGTATCATGAGGGAGGCTCTGTTGTCGGCGATGATGGAGATGGGGAGGGACTTGGAGGGCTCTAATTTGATGAGGTTCTTGGTGTTGATTAGGGGAAGGAAGCACTCATTTCAATCTGACGGCCTACAATTACTGAGCGGACTGATCAGGCAGATTTGATATGCCGGAACTCGTCGGCGCCGATCTGGCTGCAGAGGAGGTCATCAGAGCTCGAGGAAGGTTGAGGGAGGTCGAGAGAAAATAAGGTTTAGGAGTGCTCGCTCGTGCATTTGAGAAAGGGAGAGATTTTTGAGAAACAAATCTACACCGTTTAATTCCAATCCAACGG